TTTATTTCATACCACACAGAGGGTCCTCACAGACTCGTTTATGTTAACAGCTCAGCCAGCTAAAAGCTCACCTTGCTCGTTCCGTCTGATGTAACTTTGTGTGGCCACATGCTGTTTCTCATTTTTTATGCAGTGTTTGGTCACTGATTGAAACTTTACGGGATAGTATATGGAATATGGAATGTACTACAGAGAAGGTACAACGTGGTGTTCCATGTTGTTGAAACTGTTTCTCACAGCCACACGTGTTCCTCATCTGGGTTTCCTACCGTCTTAAATAAGGAAGGAAAGAGTTTGAACTGCGAGAAAGAATGGCATTTCACAATAAAGACATAAAAAGTAGCTTAGATTTAATTGATTTAGTCAAGAAATAGGTGGGATTTATTTTTTGATCTATTATAGAATTATGCTCCCAAACTAGGACCTGAACCCCGAAGCATGACTCTGAACAAAGCATCGAAGAAATCTCTATTTTGGGACAGGCAAATAATAAAGTTAGGGATCACGACTACAAGAAAAGCACAAAGGTTAAACTTATAATCACTCCCTAGGAGGCAAACAACGAACCAACAGAAATTCTATCCTAATGAAAAACTCAAATTCAGCCTGTTGAGGAGAACTGTAAATAACAGTGCAGAACATGGCACTAAAATTGCACAAGACCTGGAATTTTACATGGAACAAGGCTTATTTCGTCTGACGAATTAGCACAGGACAAAGGGAAACACTGGCTATGTATACACAAAAGGACGGGGAACAGGTGGCACACACCAGGGTGGAACACGTGAGGAAGAGTAAGTAACCGAAAACAAGAAAAAAGGTAAATGTCAAAATAAAAAAGAAGGTTACAAGACTAAAATAAAGCCAGTATGACTTTGCAGACGTGACTTCCTGTCACGCATGGACCACAAAAACGTGTCAGTATTTATCAATCATATTCGATTACAATATTGTTTATCTAAATCCGTTTCAAAGCCGGTTCAAGAGTTGAGATTTGTCTAAATCACTATTTTTGGTGCCTCTTTTACTTCCAGGTTGACTCCCTGGAGCATTAGCTGAAGACGTCAACATCCTCAACCACAGGAGTGCTGTGAGTGAGCATCGAAAGACTCCTTTGTGTCAGTTCCCTTATGCAGTCGTAGGGAGTGAAGAACCTTAGACATCGATAGTTTTTCATTTTTGAAATTCAAAGGACTTCAGTGCCTTTTTTAAATTACAATTTGTATTGGTTTTCCAGTTTAAGTCTAATCTAACTATGCATTTAAGATATAAGAAACATATGCCACTACTTCGATTCATGTATGTTCCCTATTTTGTCATTTACTTTGATTGTAAATAAGTATAAAATAAGGCTTTTGCCATGTTTCAGAGGTGTGTTGTCCTGGGATTCCTCATGTGTCTGCAGTTTTCAGCTGATTGATAATTCAGGACAGGAAAGTAATATCTCTGTTTTCAGTCTCGAGAATCTATGTGGAGGCTTTACAGTATGCTGTTATTCCTTTAGAGACTGCATGAGTCCAAACCCCGACTGCTGTAGGGGTGTCAACCGTTGCTAAGCTGCCAGCCAGCCTGTTGCTACCCCCGTGGCAGCAGACCTGATGAAGCCGTCTGCATTGGTTTCTTTTCGGTCGACTGAGCGGGACACACCTGTCAACAAATTGTTTCTCACCACTTTGGTGGGTCTCAGTTAAAAAGCAATGGCTTCCAATCCCCCGCCCTTCCCAATAGTGTTCAATTTGCACAAAACGAGATGACAAAAAAATTGAGTTTCATATCTGAGCCACTGCAGAAATTCCACCTTGCCTTCGGTGGGCATGATAAGAAATCCTTGTATCCTCCCAGGGATTGAAGAGAGGCCCCGCTGGATGTCGTACATTACATTGTTCTCGCTGATGTGACCGGCGGGGTGGAAGAAAGCAATGTGTAGCTGTGTCAGTTTGTTTCTGTTTTTTCTGGAGGCCATCCCAGCTGTCAGTGGCTAGAAAACAGTCTACACCCTGGACAGGTCTCTTTATTAATCCCCAAAGGAAGATTAGAGAAAGCAAGGGGTTCTTTGTTTCCAAAAGACAGAGGAGCTCAGCTGAACAAAGCAAACAGGTACAGGTTTGGACATTTTCAGCCAAAGACACGTCTCTGGATGCAACAGATTTGTGGAAAACCCTGAAATGGATATCATTGCTTTTGCTTTTATACTTCAAACCAAAATGATTTAATCTTCTGCCACCAATCTATGAGGGTGTTGTATACCCTCACCCCCAACTCCCTAATCTCTTAAATCCTAATTCCCCTCTTTACTTAAACCTACACATGCGTTTGAGGTCTCTTCAGTGTCTGAGCAATCAGAAAACGCCTCGCAGACACGGTGAAGACACCGCTTATTTCTGAGAAACAAAGATGACAAAAGAGATATAGGATTATGAGTAAGCCTATCTGAAACGTCCGATCAGCAGAGGCCGGCGGCAAGCGTTGGACGTCCAGTTTTGCATCACGATTCAGATAGAAAAATAAGGACGCTAGGAAATGTACCCTCGGAGACCCAGAGAGGAGATAAAAAGGTGTGAAAAACATCTCCAGGATCCTGGATTTGGGAAGAAAGTTCCCATCCCTAATCGCTAAAACTCGTCATCCTGGTCTCAGCCCGATCCGAACAAACAAGAAGTATTTCTGTCTGACACAAGCCGACCTCACGCAGTTCATAACCACTGTGTTCTCACAGCTCTACACCCTCTGTCAACATGCAGATACGCTCGCCGGGACCTTCGTTCCTTATCAACATCCCTGTCATGACCTCCATTCTCACACACTGGGATTCTCTGTTTTTTTTTTCCCTTTTTCCCTTTCTGTCAGCTGTGAGAAGACTGAGAGTAGGAAGTAAATACTGTATACCCATCTGGTGGGAGGCAAAGTTTGAGAAATTTTTATGTAGACACTGAGGGATCACAATGCCTTTAAGCTAATTCTGATTTTTCTGTTTCCTGGTGGGAACAGCATTATCTTTTACAGTCAATAGTGTGTTATTTCCCTATTGTCACAAGACCATTGCAGAAATTGCAATCTAAATCCTAATCTGGTATAAAAAAATGAACAATTAATATGAGATTACCAAATTTGTCATTTGTCTGGAGTTCCCTGGCAGTACTGGTGGAAAAAAATGTCATATGGCCGTGAATTAGGAAAGGAGAATATCAAGACTCAGCCACGACTAAATATGGAATAGCTACATACAGAATTAACTGTGCACTGTGCAATAATGTTGTTTGAAGAACAAATATGTGTCAGGGTTGCTGTAGTTAAAGGCCCGGGCCACAGTGGCCTCGTTCCTAACCGCGATACAGCAAATTGGATCAACCGGAGGGATAAGAACAGGAAGGATGTGATGAGTGATTAGGGTTGAGGTAGGTTGTTTCCAGCCAACTCTATTTGAAGTATCGTCCCTCCAATTATGACCTGCTGCTATACCGCTATAAACCCGGAGATGTATTATAGTCCCAGATCCACTAGTGATGCACATTTCTATGGTACCGGTACATAATATAAATGCAGTGGGAAACCCCTGGAACGCTGGGAAAACCCTGGTTCCTGCAGTGGAAATGCAGCTTTACTCACCAGTTTAACTTTGCTTCAAAGTATGCGACATCTAATTAAAAGGTCATAATCTTATAATCTGAGTTGTAAATAACCTCTTGCTGGATTACTAACGCCTATAGTCAATCTTCAGGCGTCACGCCTTGTAACGGAAGACACGGAGTCCGCGCTGAACTTTGACTTCCATCAGTTTTTGCGATCCCTGAGAAGCAGATAAAGCCCAGAAAATGAGGGATTAGCAAAAGCCCACAATAACCAGAGTGCTTCGCTCAAAATTCCATTATCTTAGCGTTGGGCTTCGGCTGGACACGGTCACACTCAGCTCCCATTAGCCTGAGCTGGGAGTGGAGGCAGATTAACGGGGGCCCAGGATCAAATACTGAGCCACCGGCTTCTGCTGACCCACCCCCAGTTCCCTTATCCACATGGAACTGTTAACCGAGTCCTACGCGCCATCGTGAAATAAAAGCAAAACTACACAGGACGGTGGACCTGAGCAGGGCAAACATGTAATTTTTTGTTTTGTCGTTCAAATTGATCAATATTCCCTTTCTTTTATTTGTTGCTCTCTCTCTCTCTCTCCAGTTCAGGGATAAAACTATTGGATTCTTTTTTTAAAATAAACTAAGTCTTTAGATATAATGACACATCAGGGCCCAACTAACTGCCTTTATATTTTATCCCTCCGCTTGGAGACATTTCTCTCATGGGCCTGTAATCACCCCAGTAAGTCCACTGGTTTTCCCTCTCTTTTTAGCGTGTGGTGCCAAGCTTTTCCAGTCCCCAAACGCATCACAGATTCAACATGTCTGCACCACTTTTCCAAAGGGGTCGGAATTATTCACGCTTGCATTTAGATCTTCTCTTTGCTGTGTGTTTCAAAATTGTTTTAGTCCGGATAACAGTATCAAGAAGTGGACGTTTGATTTAGACAAGCGTTCCGCTGATGACAGTGTCCCAGATTAAAAACCAACAGACGCAAGGAGGCCGAAATGTCCTGGTGATACATTTGTACAGACATAGTGGATTGTGTGTGTGTGTGTGTGTGTGTGTGTGTGTGTGTGTGTGTGTGTTGGGGGGTGCACTGACAGGAGGGGGGGGTGCTGATGGACGTGATTCACAGAGAGCATCTGATTGTGTTTCAGCACCTGGACAAACATCTGCAAAGAACACACACAAACACACACACAGCTCAAAGAACACACATACACACACAGCTCAAAGAACACACACACAGCACAAAGAACGCACACACAGCTCAAAGAATACACACACACACATCTCAAATCTCCCATTTCCAGGGCGAGCTCGACCATTTTGAGTGTGTCTCACCGCACGTCTGACCCACTAACACAATTCTGCGCGTCAGACGGGGTGACGTCACGGGGTGGGGGGCGGGGCCAGAGGCGTTCAAAACACAGCCTGTCCCCGACAACTGCCTGATCTCCTGCTTCCTGCCCTCGTTCTTTCTCCTTTTTTCTTTAATTCCCTTTTTTATTTTTCGCACGACTACCTTTTCTTCCTCCATTTTTCCACACCTGGCAGCCGCTTTTTTTTCCCGCTCCTATCTTCTATATAATGCGTTCTCCCTCCTTAAATGACTCGCGACGCGCGTTTAGCTCCGAGATTGTTTTTTTTCCTTCCCTCCCCAGCAGCATCCCCTCTCCGCCCGTTTGTTCGCGTGTGTTTTTGTTTAGTTTTTTTTTTTTAATTTTCTGGTGAACGCAGACTGATTTATTAACCGTATAAATGCACTTGCTGTCGGGGGAGTCCTCTGCTTTCGAAATCCGAGAGGTAAGCGCCAAATGCTTTTGTCTGCAGGGGCAGAGGAGAGGCTGCAGCTGCTGCCTGGATCCAGGGTGTGTGTGTGTGTGTGTGCGCGTGCGTGGTCGTATAGATGTGTGTAAGTGTGTGTGTTATGCGCCCTTTGCGTTGCATCCGCAGCAGATCGGATCAAACCTTAAATCTGCACACTTTTCTGACTTCTGCTGTAGTCCACCTAAAAATGGCGCTGTTTGTTGTTGTTGTTGTTGTGGAAGTCGGACGCGCAGTTCACTTCCTGCTGCGCTCCTCTTCGCTTTTAACCGAGTTAACAGTCCTATCTCACACCACACGGTGCGTGAGGACTTTTTTGTTTGGGTGCAATTATGTTTTTTTGTTCGGGTACAATTTATGCGTAAAACTTGTTGTGAAGGCTGAAGTATCCGGGGCCCTGAACGCAGCATATTATGTGCCAAACTTTGAAAAAGCCTCTTTTTTTAATCAATGTATTTGTTCAAGCCCCTTAACATTTCAGTGAGTGAGGGAGATGAATAAACTGTGTTCATAAAGTGTAATTTAAAGTCAGTGGAACCTTAAGGAGATCCCTTTTAAAGGGTGTGTGATTGTGAATATTTCCTGTCCCCCTCAGGTGTGTGTGCTCCGGGTGCAGCCTGGCCGGCGTGGGGGGGGTGGCCATGAAGAACCCGGGGGCAGCGGAGGCCCGGCGGCTGGCCGGCCTGCTGGAGGCCGCCCTGCTCCGGGAGGCTCGCCTCTGGAAGGTGCCCGTCTTCAAGAACGGGTGCATTCAGGTGAGCGGGTTTAAGGGGGAAACGGCTCCAGCCTGTTAAAAACACGCCCGGGTCAAGTCCCAACGGTGGTAAATCAGCCACTAACCAGCCTAAAATCAAATAAAACACAATAACATGAGAGGAAAACCATTGTAACTTACTAGAACAAACTAATTAACTTTCATTTTTTGGGTCTGATGATATAATTGGTCTGGTGGGAGAGGTAAAGTTTTTCCTTGCCTGTGTCACCTAGTGCTTGCTCATGGTGGGAATTGTTGGGTTTCTGTAATTAAATTCAGAGTAGGGTCTGACCTGCTCTGTTTGGAAAGCGCTGTGAGACAACTGTTGTTGTGATGTGGCGCTATATAAATAAAATTGAATTGAAATTGTGTTGCCCGATTCCTCTTGCGTGCGTCCTTTGTTTTGTTTTTGTTTTTGTTTTCTAACAATCAGCCCTTGTCTGTTTGGACCCCGCAGGGCGCTGACATCTCCTCATCTCAACACCAGCAAATGATCCTGTGGCTGGGAGAAATGAGCAGGCTCTTTCAGTTCTGTCCAGAGACCTTCGCCCTGGCAGTGTGCGTCCTAAACCGCCTGCTGTCCACCGTTAAGGTACACCACTCCATCCCGGAATGTTCTACAGCTTCCTGCTCTGTAGTTCTCTGAAAGGGCACAAACTCACCTTTACTTTGATTGACTTGCAACTTTGTTAACGTTCTGTCATTTTATCTTGCCTCCCATCCTGAACTCAAACCAAAGGGACACAAATTATCTTCATAATTCGTTTTAGTGTCTGAAATTAACTCACAGATGTGTTCCTTTTTTTTTTTTAAGGCTCAGCCAAAATATCTGAAATGCATTGCTTTTACCTCACTGGTCCTGGCCGCCAAAATCAACGAAGAAGACGAGGTAAATGTCCTCTTTTTAAAGGTTCTGGAGACCGAAAAGTCGATAGAGGAAACAACAACAACAACAAAAACGACCCACCTCAGTGTATTTTTCCGAACAGTACTTTAATCTGCATTTTGTTGGTGTCTTGTTTGCTTCGACAGGTTATTGGATCGGTTAAAGACCTGGTTGTGCAGAGTGGATGCAGCTTTTCGACGGCGGAGATTCTTCGCATGGAGAGGATCATTCTGGACAAGCTGCACTGGGACCTGTACGCAGCCACGCCCGTCGACTTCGTTCACATCGTAAGTCAGAGATCGGGAGGCAAACGGAACCCTTCCTTTGTTTTGTTTTTTTACTGGACCTGAGCATCTCAGAGTGAAATACTGGAGTTCAGGCCCCTTTCTTGCATAAAACACGAGCAGTACAAAAAGCACGCATTGTAAACGAGCATACCTGCATCATGATGGCTAAAGAATTGGTCCAAGACACAAAAAAAAGTGCATTTATCTGATAAAACTCAATGTGCTTAAAATGATTAAGTTTCCAAACACAATTTGGTCTTCTTCCACATCCTGCTTCTTAGTAGTTCCCATGTAAAACCTAAAGGCTGCCTAGAGGGCGTTTGGCATTTAGACACTATCAACGATGTTTTGTTGTCTTAAAACATTATTTTTTCTATTTAGATCCATTAGATCATTGGATAGCTGTTTATTAGGTTAAACTACAAAGCGTTTGCTGGTATTTGCAAGTATTTGATTTCCGTTGCCAAGCAAAAACTGTGTACCTTTTAAGGAAAGCCACAGGACAGTGTGACAATTCTTAGGTGTTTTCACAATTTCCAGAAACTTTCCAAGTAAGGAAATACCGATTGTATTAATTACAGGCCGGCCTAATGTTGTTTAACAAAGTTTAATCAGCCGGCCTCATCAAGTCTCTGCTGCAGCTTAGATGTTGCTCTGTAAAATTATCTGTAAAATTCTCCGAGAGCAAACAGGCTGCATCTTACTGAGACGCACTTGGCCCAACTATGCAAATGTTGCGCATGTGAGCAAAAAAATCAACAAACGGAGATAACCAACAACATGCGACCGCATTTTGCAAATGTAAGGAGCGTGCTGCGTTTGGGGCCGAAGGCACTTCAGTCTGAAGCCTAATGTCAGTCAAACCTAAAGGAATGTTCTAGGGATTTTTTTAATTGGAGTGGTGACTTTCTATAATTGAACCCTCTGCTTTTTGTTTTTGAGTTCAAAACTTGGTCGTGTGGACCAAAGCGGAATCTGGGGCCTGTATTCATAACGCTCTCAGTGGGGGGGGGGTCATAATTTAAACGAGACTATTTAATCTGAAAGACGTTCCACAAAGGATGTATGAGATGAAGAGGAGAGTGTTTGTAACAAAAGCTCCTTCACATCGGATGAGCTCCTACCTGACAGGCAGAGAGTAGATTGTGAGCCAGCTTTAAAAGCAAAAAACGCAAAGTGTAAGTGGATTTTTTTAGGAAAACAGCCCGTAGTTCCAAAACATCCAATGAAACGGATATCTTGGGTACAAGTCCCAAATGACGTGACCTGTGAATTACCTTCAGTAAATAAACGTCCTGTACTGAGTCAGTGGAGGATTTCAACTTTTCTTTTTTTTTTTAAAGCCACAAACCATAAAAACAGCCTTAAGCTGGCACCTTCCCTCTATCGCCTCTGATATTTGTGTCTCTATCAGTCCAGCTTCACTGTAAATATACAAAATCCAAGACGTCCAAAATAAAGACATGATTTAAGAATTTAAAAACTATAAGAAAATAAAGACATTTTCTCTCTTTTATACTTTTTTTTCAAATAAATATATATCAAATAAATACTTTACTATACTGTAAATATCTCCCCGTTACATTCCCCCTTGCCCTGAAATGCCTTTTTCAAACGAATAGTGCTTTTTTTTCTCCTGCAGCTACAAAACAGCAAAAAACGGCCACAGACTCGTCACCATGACACTTGGAGATGAATAAATAAACGGATTTTACAGAGTCACCGGCGTTTGGCTCTCGGTGCGGTCAGCTCCCCCCCCTCGGGAGGCTCGGCCGTGGGGTCAGCTCTTCTTTGACTAAATGCATTTGGAGTGGAGGGACTTTGGGAAGTTTTATGAATGACTCTGACCCGGGCGCCACAAGAATCAGAATCTGACTCCCAAACTCCCAAAACCGTGGCCTGTATTTTCTAAAATACTAAACAACAGCATGAATATGGGGGGGAGGCACGAGACTAATGTGAACTGAAGAATGCAACTGGTTGTGATTTCTCTTTTCCGGCCATTTAAGGGTAACCGCACCTTGTTCACAGCCATTTTTTCCCCTTTTTTTTCTCGCTGTCTGACCAGAAAATCAAATGTTTTTGACCACACATTGATAGTTTCCGCCCACGCCAACAACACAAAACCAGACCAACACAGACACGAC